AGCAAAGAGGCGATTAAAAGCAAACATTTTTTCTATGAAGTCTATGCTGAAGTTCTTCCGTGAGAAAAATTTTATTTCAAGTCAAGCAGAAGATGTTATAAAGGTATGAATTCTTCAACCTACAAATATTGACATTTTACTTATTATGCGAGACTTGTATATCAAAGGTTTATGAAATAGTTGGATTGCATAAAAAATTTACTTATAAGTACTAATAGTACCACATAAGTTTTTACTAACAATTGTATAGGAGCTTGGTGTTAATGCTAATTGCTTGTTTTGTTTTGTTTTTTTTCTTGATACTTTAGGTAACAAAAAAATAATTTATATTTTTATTTATCTTCCAGACTACTCAACCTGATGAAAGTGGAGAAATAATACGCCGTTTTTTACGAGGACCTTCAAAAGCCAAATATTCCCCAGCATTAAGGGCCTTTGCATTAACACTGCATTTCTTTTCTGCAAAAGCTTACAATTATATTCGGCAAAAATTTAACAAAACTTTGCCTCATCCAAGAACGCTTTCCAAGTGGTACTACACTATTGACGGTTCACCTGGTTTTACTGAAGAATCAAAGAGAGCTCTGGCTGCAAAAGTGGAAGAAACTAACGGGAAAAGTCAAATTCTATGCAATTTGGTGATGGATGAGATGGCGATAAAACGAAAAATTGAGTGGGATGGCAAGAAATTTACGGGTTATGTAAATATAGGTGTGGAGCTCAGTAGCGATGAACTAGCTGAAGCAAAAGAAGCACTGGTATTTATGCTTGTAGCACTTAATGGTAGTTGGAAAATACCCATCGGTTATTTTCTGCTTGAGGGTTTATCTGCTATGGAAAAGGCCAATCTAGTAGTAAAAGGATTGGAGTTTGTGCATCCGACTGGTGTAATTGTAACATCCTTAACATTTGATGGAACCCCAACAAATCTTTCTATGGCGGAGTATCTAGGTGCAGACTTTAAAAATTACATGGTTCCTCCATCCAATTTCTAATGAAAAACTCTTCATATTCTTAGATGCATGTCATATGCTTAAATTATTACGCAATTGTTTTGCTGTATACAAACAGTTAGTGGATGGATCTGGTGGAATTATAAAGTGGCAGTTTATTGAGAAATTAGTGGAATTGCAAGAAGATGTACAATTGCAATTGGGAACGAAGCTGCGGAAAAAGCATCTTTATTGGTCTGATCAACCAATGAAAGTTAATTTAGCTGCTCAAACTTTGAGCAACAGTGTATCTTGTGCTCTGATCACATTGGAGGATGACTTCAAGATGAAGGAATTTGAAGGTGCTTCTGCGACAGCTTTATTTACAAAACATATTAATGATTTGTTTGATGTGTTAAATTCTAAAAACAGATTTTGTACTGTAGAATTACGAAGAGGTCTATCCCAAACAAATAGAGAGCAAATTTTTAGACGATTATCAGAAATTATAAATTACTTGACAAAATTGAAAGTGCAAGACGAAGTTTCTGTTTTAAACTGTCGCAGAAAAACTGGATTTGTAGGATTCATTGTTTGTATTGACAGCTTGATGGGATTATACAATGAATATGTAGTCGAAAAACAACTATTACATTACATATTAACCTATAAACTATCCCAAGACCATTTAGAGTTGTTTTTTAGCTCCATGAGGAATCGCCTGGGGATGAATAATAATCCGACAGCTAGAGAATTTGAGAGGACATATAAAAGATTAATTGTCCACACTGAAGTAGGACCTTCAGGATCTGCTAATGTTAAAGCATTAGATACGACATCCATCCTCCACTGTTCCAGTGCAACATCAAACACTTTAACACACACTGCAGCTGGTGAAAGCAATGAAACAGTAGAGCAGTCTGTTAATACTTTTGAAAAATTTTTGGAGGATCATGATTATTTGGGCTCACAATCGTGGATATTAACAGATTGCGCTGAAGATATTGTTGCATACATTGCAGGCTTTATAGTCAAATCTTTGCAACGTGATGTTGTATGTAGCAGGTGTAAGGAACTCTTGGAAGGAGAAGAAGTTTTGTCAAAGCTACAAATCCGCAAAACTTTTGGTCGGCTCTACAGGGCATCAAATTTAACTGTTTTAATTTGTAAAGCTGGGGAACAAGCTGTACGTTTTTTAAAGGCTGAATCAAAATTGTTTATTCAAAATGAACAGACCCTTCAGGCATTAATTTTGAATATAATTCAAGAACTTCCATCTGATGTGTTTCAATCATTTGGAAACCACGTTTTTGATGGTGAAATATGGAACAATCATTCCATTGAACTACCGAAATTGATTTTAAAAAAATATATTAATCTACGAATATATCACGAAACCTCCAAACTGTCCGATGTACGAACGTTACGCAAAAAATTAACGAAAACTATTTTATTCCGAAATGAATAAATTGCATTATCATTATTCATATCACAATGTTATTTTTGTCATAATAACTGTACTTTATTGTGTTCTTATAACCCACGTGCTTATTGTTTATTTCATATTTTTTAAATTAATTAAATACATTTTTGTTTGAATCGTTTTTTTTTTTAATATTTAGGTATGTATGTACTTGAATGTGATTGTATGATTTTTTTAAAGTAAATTCAGAAATTTCAAATGCACGCCACTGTCCCCGTGGGAAACGTAAACACAACGCCTTTTAGTTTTGAGGTTATCCCTGTTACCTGTTACAAACAAAGCAAGAGTACTGGGATATACATGGCCATTCTAGTCTATATGATTTCAGTGGTGGAAACACTATAGTAGCATTCTAAGTTGCTCTTATTTTTGTTCCAATAAACAATGTAAAATCGTTGTGACAAGGACCAAACATCCGTGAGAATCAAAAGTTGATCATCATGAAGTATTACCAAAAAACTTTCGCACTGACTTTTAACGATGAATGAATAAATGAATGAACGAATGATAAGCAGCAAAAAGTCGGTTTTACTTTTAATTGAAACTGAAAGTGTTTACGTCGTTCTTATTAGAACTTTCCAACTCTGTTTACAAGGTGGCTCAGTGCCTTCGTATCGAGGGTGGCTCATGGGGGTTTTACCCCATTCGATTTTTAATTTATTTTTTCTATATTTGGAAACTACTAGGGTGGGAGATGCCGTGGTTAAAATTATTGCATATATTTCGCAGTCACCCTGTATACGAGTAAATAATGAACGGCCTGAGTGACCTACCGTGGGACACCAGGCACTTCACATAGGGGAAAGGTGGAAAAAAAATGTTGTAAAAAATTTTTTTACAGGAACAAGGACATTTCAATAATTGAGTTGGTTTACAATCAAAAAATAAAAAAACAGCAAAGGCCGACAGTTTGGAGGGGGTTAATTTAGAAGCAAACCACCCTAAAGTTGTATTCATAAAAACCCAAAAAAAAGTGCTTCATTCACGCTGGAAATCTAATAGCGTGTTCATTATACATATTAAGAAATATGTGCAAAAAGGCCGACAATTTGGAGGGGGGTAATTTAGAAGCAAACCATTCTAAAAATCCAAAAAAAAAGTGTTTGATTCACGCTGAAAATTTAATAGCGTGTTTATTATACATATTAAAAAATATGTGCAAAAAGGCCGACAACTTGGAGGAGGGTAACTTAGAAGCAAACTACCCCAAAGTTGTATTTTTAAAAATAAAAAAAAAGCGTTTGATTCACGCTGAAAATTTAATAGCGTGTTCATTATACACATTAAAAGATATATGCATAAAGGCCGAAAGTTTGGAGGGGGGTTAGTTAGAAGCAAACTACCCCAAACTTGTAATTATAAAAATTCTAAAGAAGTGTCTGATTCACGCTGAAAATTTAATAGTGTGTTCATTATACATATTATCTAAGTTAACCCCCTCTAAACTGTCGGCCTTTTTGCAAATATTTTTTAATATGTACAAAGAACACGCTATTAAATTTTCAGCGTGAATCAAACACTTTTTCTTGTATTTTTAAAAATTCAACATTGGGGTGGTTTGCTTCTAAGTTAACCCCCTCCAAACTGTTGGCCTTTTTGCACATGGTTTTTAATATGTATAATGAACACGATATTCAATTTTCAACGTGATTAAAACACTTTTTTTTGGATTTTTATAAATACAACCTTGGGGTGGTTTGCTTCTAAATTAACCCTCTCCAAACTGTCGGCCTTCGTTGTTTTTTTATTTATTGATTGTAAACCAGCTCAATTATTGAAATGTCCTTGTTGGCTGATGAATAATATGAATAAAAAAAATTTTTTTTGCAACATTTTTTTCCCACCTTTCCCATATGCGCAGTACCTGGTGTCTCACGGTAGGTCAGGCAAACCGTTCATTATTTACTCGTATACATATACTATCTGAACCATCAAGTAAAATTACAAAGTACATCAAACACTTCATGAAACCGGTCTAGGACAATTCGGCGCGGCCGACTTGGCGCGGCCAACTTGGCGTGGCCGACTTGGCGTGAGACATTTTGGCGCAAAGCCAACTTGGCGCAGGGACACTTTGGCACAAGTTATCTTGGCGCGGGCCATCTTGGCGCAGATGAACTTGCACCAAGAAAAATAGATATAAATATACAAAAATTGCAGCCGTTGTTAGCATAACCTAATTTTTACAGTCACCAACGCGTGGAGGGGTAATGTCGACTTTTAATGGACACACGGGACACGGGCGCTTCGCGCCCTGCACCCCGTTATAAACATACTCCTAAACGTGGAACTTCTTGCTCCGTGGATCATTTAGTTATTGGAATTTGTGCGAATGAAACTGTGTATTTGGTGCCTACACTTGGCATAAGTAACAGGGTGCTAACCACAGTACGAACAATAAATATTTTCTATATTATATACCGACGTAGTCGCGCCAAGATGGCTTGCGCCAAAGTGTCCCTGCGCCAAAATGGCTCGCGCCAAGTCGGCCGCGCCAAATAGTCCCATTCCGTCATGAAACATGTGTCATGGGCTCTCCGACAATAATAACAGTGTTAAACATTCAATAAGGTTTCTTTTTATAGTTAATGGAAGAATCGGAAAGTAAAGCAGTATTTTTGCTGCACTTGCATCCTTCCTCCCAAGAGACCTTTATTCAAACGCTTGGAAAAAATGAACTGGAAACTTCTCAGCGATTTTCACTGTCAAGCGAAACTGTGTCTCAAATCATTCAGCATGAAAACAAAACTTTAAAATGGGATGAAAATATAAACTCAGAAATTCTAGCAGTGTTTACTGAAATGTTCGATGATATACATTACAGAATTACAGTCGTTCCCATAGTGAAGAAACAAAACTGTGAGTATATTTTACAGATATACTTTCAACCAAATAACTTTTTTGTTTTAAATAGTTTATCCCTGTTCAATCCAGAATTTGAAACCCACGCTCTTGACTTGTTTTCTCGACAGTGGGAAAAATGAGGATTATCTCATAAATCTAGCAGAGGAATTGTTCAAGTATTGTTTGCCAGTTTTATTAAATATTATGTCATCCGAAGAAGAGATCAGGAAAAGAATCCAATACCAGTCATTATTGGCAGTAATTCGAAACTTACTTTTGTCGGTGGAAGATATTAATGGACTAATTAAAACAATGACTGAGGAAGCAAGAAAAATAACAAATTCAAAACACTGTACACTGTTTTTAAATAATGCAGGTCGAGTGGATTTAATTTCAAAAGTGTTTACTACGTTTTCCAGTAGTAATATTCGTGCAAGTATCAAGTCTGCAGAGGACCATATTATACCTGGTTAGTATGTTTATTATTAAAGAAATTTTTTTAAAACGAATATAGATACTTACCTACAATTTAACAACACTACGTACTTAAATTACGAGATATGACTTTCTGGTCTGTATAAGTAAAATCTTCTAAATTAATGTACATACCTAATATTAATCACGAACAATAATCTCTTTATGTTTTAAAGTTTTTATTGACAAAACCATTAGGCTGGTATTGAAATCGCGTCAAAAACCTCCTTTCTAAGTTTCTGCTTGATTTAAATATTCAAACAACGGTCGGTACACAAGTAAACATACTTGTGTACCGACAGTATCGTTCACGGCCGTATATAACAGGTCTGCGAACTCCCAGTTTAAAATGGTCTTTTTTCGACGAGATCCTAGGAGGCCACGGAAACTTAAAGTTCCTAGCGCCGTCTACTGGACACTATGATGAAACTATTCACAAAGGTCGAGCAATAATTGACCCTTTTCCTGTAAGATCGTAAAACTTCCATAGTGACTTTCCGTGCGCACGCATGTTCAAAACCACGTATCCGGCACTCCGGCAGCAGAGCAAAGGCCTGTGACAACAAACCGCTTTGACAGAATGCAACCAGCTACACATGCGTAATCTATCGCTCATTGGTTAATTTTAACTTGGCGCTCCAAAAATCTGACTTCGCCTGCGCGATGTTGTCTCACTCTGTATCATTGGAATTTATATAATATCTACTCACTTTGCTTACAGGAAAAGGGTCAATGAATGAAATTTGCGTAAAAATGTCCTTGAATGCAAGTTGTCAAAAATGTCAACTTTATAGGTTAAGTTTTGTGACGTCTTTTTGAAAGATGAGGGGGAATATACGTCAAATGTCATGTCAAACATCAGTTGATAGTGCAAATAGTACAATTAACTACCACATGGTGGCGGTCATCTTAAGCTCCCACAACCTACTACGATACCAGTTTTTAAGCGCCCGTTTTATGAAAATTTATGAATGGAGTTGAAACACCTTACTTATACCACCGTGGTATCGTTCAAAGATATTGAATAAGCAATAAGTACATATAAAACGTCTTTGGTACCGTTAAGTAGGGCAGGTTATGTACACTTCAGTGGCAGAGAACATAGAGAAAGAGAAGTGTCATAGTTTAAATCAGAAGACGGTTGAGGACTCCTCGATTTATGTTGGTAGCAATGTTTGGTTTCTAACTAGGAATAAAATTAACTAGAAGAATTGTCATAATATTTTTAACGACGCTTTTTACTTTCGACAAATTGAGAACAGTTTTGCCAGAATATTACAAGCTGCTTATTGTTTCCTTCACTTTAATTCAGGTCACACGAATTACATTACAATTATAATGAAAGAAGATTTTTATTGTCATCGACTATTTAAATTTGGCGCGCCTGCCTTTGGCGATTGAGGACCAGAGATATGGAGAGGGAGAATGAGCTTCCCCTTGCGCAGACCATAGATGTTAAATTAAGTTACCTAGATACCCGACTACCTAACCCTGCGCTGCAGAAGTGAAGCTTCAAGGTCGAGTGGCCGCCATTTGTCAGAAAGGCAAAACATTGCTGTCAATGTATGATCGCTTGGTAGAGCTTATTTGAAACCAGAAGTACATCGAGCGGGAGGGATGACCAGGACCATTAGTGTTGTTATTGGGGTTTATACGTGCTGGCGTTAGTACATATAAGAACGTACAAAACAGGTCCAAAGAGTAAAGGAAGTTCGTTCTCGACGCCGCTGATTCTGTGAAAGTAGTGCTCATGCGCACTGAATAGTGTTTCAAATACTGGTATCTGCGCTCTTTTATTGCTGTGTACTTCTGCTTTCAAATAAGCAATATTAGGAAAATAGTGCTAAATACAACGTGTTTTTGAAATACATGGAAACAAAAAATCTGGTGAATGTAGGGAACCTAAGAAGTCAAATGAACGTTTGTTGTTTTAGTAAAATTTTGAAAGGAAAATTTAACCCCTATCCAAACATTCATTCCTCCACTGATAAATAATGGTTTCACGAAAAAATGTGAAACCTAGTAACTGAAAACTGCCGAGGTGTAACTACTGTTGCTATTAATTTATTGCTAGCAACAAATAAACAATGACAATAATTAATGAACTGACAATTAAAACTTCAAAATCATAATTTAATCAACCATAAAATGAAACAAAACGTAACGTATGCAACTAGAGCAAGTTTTCAAAATGTCCACCACCATTTCGTATACACGTTTCCGCACGTCTAATCAATGATTGTTGCCTTGTTCATGTAGAGTTCTCCACACCACAAAAGGTGAAACTCCCACTCGGTAAGACAATCGTCTACTGCTTATACCTGGATCGTTTTCAACGACATTCAAAATTTCTTCTTCGGCATCAAGTGTCCGTTCTGTCCTTTCACGACCACGATCACTAAAACGAGGTTGAAATTTCCCATTTTCTCGTAGACGCTGCACAACGTTAGCAAATGTTTTATGATTTGGCAATCTTCGTTCGGGAAATGCTTCTTGGTATAAACGTCGAGCTTCCAAGGACTTTCTTAAGGCTTGTCCATACATCAGAACCATGTCAGTCATTTCAGAATTAGAAAAATTCATTTTGTTCTTCCAAAAAATTGCAAAAACGTCAAAAAATGATGGGCTAATGAATGTATTGTCATGTTAACAAGCAACAATTTTACCTACTTTAAATTACTATAGTGATCAAATTTACCTTTAACATTTTTGGAATCAGTAGCGCACACGCAAATTTTAACAGATTTTCAATCAATTTTATCTCAAAAACTAAAGGATTTTTATTAGATCAATATTTGATGCATAAATTCTCTACATCATGACCAATTACGTTAAAAAAACTTTCCATCTATTTCAAAAATACCCTGTAAATGTATGTACGTTGCGAACTGTTTCATGTGTATTGGGAGTGAATGTGTATGATTACGTGAATTAAAGTATAGTTCCAAAAAGTGTTGGTTTATTAAAAGCGAAATATGCCGGCATCGTGTTCCGCATTTGGGTGTACAAATCGGTTTAAACCAGGAGGAAACGTCCAGTTTTTTGGGTAATTTGCGGTCGATTGCTAAATCGGTTTGTCGTTTTATTATGTGATTTTGTCTTTAGATTTCCCCTGAAAAATGAAAAGCTCTTGGAACAGTGGGTTAGAGTAATGAAAAGAAAAAAATTTACACCAACAAAAGTCAGTAAATTGTGTAGTGACCCTTTCACTGAAAGTGATTATTTGGTGCGTCCTGGCACGTATTTACTGCTTAGGTATTTTTTTAATTTTAATGACTTCTGATTTATGTAAGAATTGGAAAACTATTTTAATTATTTTTCCTCAATAACGTAACATTTGTAGTATATTTTAAGTTATATGTACTTTTGTTGTATGTCAGGATTGGCAAGCTAACAATAAAATGTGCACCTGATTTCCTTAGAACAAATAAATAATATTTTACCCTTACTTTCACCATTACTGTAATACGATTCTACAGTATTTTGCCTCTTTGACAAATGGCCGCCATAGGCTTCACTTTACGCGACGCAGTTGCGCATCTAGTAGAGTATAAGGTTAAAATCTATGGCACAGACCACGGTGGTATCGCAGACCCAAAATCCTTGGTAAAATTGAAAGCAGCCATTTTATCAGTTGACTGTTGCCAACATAATCACAAATCACTAACAGAACTTGATATCCCTAGATGATCGCTTGATTATTGGGCGGGAAGTTTAAAATCATTAATTAAAATCACCTAATAATAAATCACAACTAAAATATATTCCACCTTACATAAATAAATAAACATAATTATACTTAAATATATTTATTGATGCGAAAACAGTACCAATTATGTGTACGCATGTCTAACAGAAGTGCCTTGAGCAAGACATGAAGTCTTTTGCTCAAATTAAACATTCTTATTTACATGTAGGCATTAATTACTTGTTTAATAAGAATATATAAATGGCCTTCATCGATGGCCGCCGTCTCGAGTGCGTGGGTCCTCTAAATTAGGAAAAAGAATGCTGGCATGCCGAAAGTTTTAAAAAATTGTTCATCGCTTGGAAGGTTGTTATCGGTGAGTTGCAAAATTTTTCGTATTTACAACTCACAGTAACAACTAGTCTTTACAACCCCAGCAAAAGGTTTAAAAAGCCCACCTAAAATCAAAATTTTGTCAAGAATTAAAAAATAACTATTGTAAGTATTTTATTTTGCCCATGTTTTTTTTGTTCAATAATCTGTAAAACTGTAAGTCACTTCGTTGTGTTTCAATGCAAGAAGAAATGCAGTCTGCGCACTTAAACATCTTCACCACCATTTTGACAACATAGCTACCGATCAGAGGCGGCTGGTCAGGGGCGGCAGGGTCGGCCACGCCGTACCAGTCATTTTAAAATACTTAGTAAGCATTAAAATAAAAAAAAATAAAAAAAGAAATACAGTTTGAATCTACGTTAGGATAGAACATATATATTAAAAATAGTATATTATTGGCCAAGGTTGCAGAGCCAAACATTCTAGACCGAGCGCAAATTAGAACCCGAGACGCGCAGCGTCAAGGGCTCTGAAGCGCGAGGTCTAGAAGTGGCTTTGCAACCGTGGTTAATATACTATTTTTTTCACTAGTAGAAACCATAAGACAATAAATTGAAAAAATAAACATTCAATTTTTTGACGCAACATGATTTTGTTTTGATTTTTAATCAAACTTAATCTAAATCTTCAACACAAAGAAAACCGTTTATACTTGTCGCTGAGTTAATCATTTTATCTTCTACCGTCTACCAACTACCATGCGTATACTCAAGTAATGTTTGTAGCACACATTTGTTCATTTTTTAAGAAATAATCACATCAAACATTGCGTACATAACCTCAATTTTTCTTTTTGAACCGGTGGTCGCAAAAGTTGAATTTGCTCCCTCTAAATGAGTCGACATTTGCATGCGTCATGGTTGCTAGTGAAAAAATATATTTTTTCCACTAGTAGCATTACAATGGCTAAT